CAGAGGATATAATTATTTTGTTTACCACTTTGAGATTGATGTGAAGGGAATCAATACCAGTTACTTTGCTTTTCATTACTGAAGGCATCTGAAATGTTGACCAACCTTATCTCAGTTGTGTCAAAGGGATCACAAAGCCCTTCTAGACACACCATTTGACCTTCTAGGACATTCTTCAAAGAACTGGCAGGCTTAGCATGTCACTTTTTTTCCTCACTTGAAGAAATTAAATCTAATTAGGAGGATCCTACTAATACAATGTAGATACAGATTACAGGTGCACGCAGTGTGTGGAGAGTCCAGAATGAAAATAGCTGTAATGAAGAAGCCTGGGGGAGGGGGAAGACCCTGAAATAGGCTGACTTAATTATCAGACTTGTACTCTAAAATAAGTGACTTCAGTAGCTGCACTGATATGAAACAGCAAGTTGGAAAATTCTACTGGGGAGAAGAAATCCCTCAAGGCATCTTCTTCTACAGAATGTAAAACCAGAAAGGAATTATCCACAAAAATACCAGTTGCACAGTTTTAGTACCAGAGATTAATGCCTGGTATTTGTTTCCCTCTTCCTGACACAGGTGTAATTTGACTCGATACACCTGAATTACTCCCATGTTTTAAGAGGGGAAGCATGACCAGGATTGACTTTTCCTTGGGAAACCTTTGACATTTCAATGGCCATTAACATTGTCCTTCTTACAGCAAATGTCACTTGAGACTTCTGTAACAGAGAGCAAAAAATATGCTTGTGCATTCTTGTCATTTCCTATGAAATCAAGTGACTGGTTTCTGATGGAAATCTCAAGAGCATTGAGTTTATACAGGTTCCTGCCAGGTCCACCTCACAAAAACTGGTTTTTGCCTGTAATGTGTGAGGCAAGGAGTGTTAATAGTGGATTTTATGAGAAACTAATTATTTAAAATATCCTTGATCCTGTGAAACTGAAATAAACCCACTGAGGATGTACAGTAACAAAACAAAACCCAGCTGATTTAAAGTCGGTGTAATACCCAGGAGTGAAAAAATGTATTCTTGTTCTGTGTGTCCTTGTGTGACTGGGGGATTTCAGCAGTCACTGGAAGATGAAGGAATCCTGCTCTGCATTATTGGGCCCAGAGGCCATGCTGGTGATTGCTAATGCAGGCACGGGCAGTAGATTTCATGGTTATACATCTCATTGTCCTTTCTGGAGCTCCTGGGTTTGAGCAGCTTGCACTGATCAGGGACACACAACAGGCAGCACAACCTCAGGTGCTGGGAGGGCCAAAGTGGAGAAGTCTTATTTCAGTCAAAACCTGAGAAAGAATTTACTCTAAGTGTGCACTGGAGCAGGTTGGCCAGAGATTGTGGAGGTTACATTCCTGGAGATTTTCAAAGCCTGACTGGGAAAAAAAAGATCTTGAGTAACTTGCTCAAATTGACTCTGCTTTGAGCAGGGGACTTGTGCCACATTATCTCCAGTATTTCCAGTCTCAGCCTTCAGCTGCATTTATGAGACTCCAGTTTTTGTTTTTTAACCAACTTGGTTCTATTTATTTAAAGGAACATTTGAGGTCAAACTTCTGCCTTTAGCGAAATAAAGAATTTTAAGTGGTTTATTTAAATTTAAGCACTTCCACTGTCACTTTATACAAGTGACTTCAAAGCATATTGAATTATTTTGGATATCATCTGCTAATGAGCTTTGTCAGTAGATACATGTTTCTCCCATTATCTTGCTTGTTTCTATTTTGTACTTTGTGAGTAATATTTGCAATTATTTTCTACAGTACCATGTTGGTAACAGCAGCAGGAAACCATGGTTGGCTCAGCTGGAACATTTTGGCCTCTAGAGTTCTTGCATTCAAATATCTGCCTGCTTATCTTTGTGGCATTCTGATTCCCTTCTTCCTCTCATCCCCTTTTTTTGTTCAGTATTTCTTTATTGGTTAGAGTTAAGACAGATGGTAGGAATAGTAAATCCAAGTTGCATTATAACAGATAGTGTCTGACATTGGCATGTCTGTAACTAGGAAGATGAAAACAATGGGCAGTAAATATTTTGGACAAGCTGAAAGAAGTTGTTATAATAATTCATAATTGTCTTGCCTGTTAGAGTGGATAAACAAAGCGAAAATTATTTCCTTCTATTTGTGCACATTTTTGGAGAGCCTCAGGATTGCTGTGATGGTGTATGGAGCTGCATTTCTGCTCAGTGCTTTTTGTGATGTATTTAATGTTACCCACAACTTCCACCGGTGTTCCTGTGGAGAATGTGTGCTGGGCACAGTGGTGGGACTGGGAGAGCTCTGCTCCCTCTGCACCTCTGCAGCTGGGCTGCATTAAAGCACCTTGAAGACATATCAGTAATGTTAAAATAAAGGTGCTTAGCCTTTGTCTGAAATCCTGTCTCTGTGGAAGCAGGTTACCTAATGAGCATGTTTTACTCATCTCGTGGGGGCAAAACCTGAGCTGTTAAATCTGTGGCAGCGAAACAAAACAATTTTTGAACCAAGTCATCGTTTTCAGCATCAATAGAAGGTCGTGCCCTTGTCAGCTGGCATTGGTTCAGCATAAGGTTCCAGTCAGAATTGGCTGCACGATGCTGAGAGCTGCTCTTTAAGAGACCTTCACCCTTTGCTGTGTTTGGAGCTGCTAATATGGTGGGTCTGCTGAATATTTATAGGGGACTTACTGCGCTGGTCCTGCCTGCAGTCACTGAGAACACAGGCTCCTTAGTCCTTGGCAACTGCTCTGGCTCAGAGAACTCTGTTCAAGCTCATGGCAGAGACTTTTTCTGTCCTTTCTCCTCTGCTCACTGTTGTGTGTTAAGCCATGATATTATTTGTTAAGTCCAAAATACAGCTCCACTTGTACAGCTGCTGCAGTTTCAAGGTTGGCTTGGTTCCTGAGAAGCTCAGACCTTTGGGGACCTGGAGCTTGGCAGACTAAACTTCTTGAACAAGGTTATGAGTGAAGGCTGCAAAGCTTGTTCTCTTAATTTGCTGCTTGACTTACCTAATGTTTAATCATCTGTACTGTGCAAAGATACCCAAAATCATATTACATCCACCCCCCCTGTGATTTTAAGAACATGACATTGCAAAAAGTCGGGGTTTTCTTTTAATGGTATGTGGTGGTTCTCATCAAGACTTGCACTGCTCTGATCTCTTTGCAGTGCATGTTTGGTCACACACTGGAATTTCTCTTCCCATGAGCATCTTGAGATGCTGAAAAGAGATTAATTTTTAATCAAGTGAAATCACCAGAATATCAAACATACTTTTTGAGTGATGTTGCTCATAAAAGAAGAAGTTAATAACATTCATAAATTTAAGTTCCAAATAATTATAATTTCTTCCTGCACTCTTCCTGGGTCTTACAGGCATGTACAGATAGCAGAGTATCCAGATTTGCAGCTCAAATTATACTGTGATTTACATTGAAAACATAAATTAAATCAGCTTGCTGCCAACTTATGTTTTTTTGTCATCATTAAGAAACTCACTGATTACTTATTTAAAATAGACCATAATTTTTGATGGTTTTTGAAGAGTAGAGGCTTTTAAAATGGCTCACATGGAATTGCCGTATTTAATTAAAAATAACTATAGAAGGACTGTATAGGATTTCTTGCAGTGTTTTAAAACTTGATACTAGTGGCATTTTTTAATATGTAGTATTACCCTGTTAATGTCTGTTTAATGTTATTTCTGACTGTCATAACTGTTTGCATTTCTTTTTGGTTAGAGGAAATTGTGTGTTCCTTTTATTCTTTGGCAAAGTTTTTAAAAGGGCAAGCCCTGACAAGACTTTGCTTCTGACCTCTGGGTTGAACTGCTCATCAGGCAAAGTCTGAATTGTTAGTAAAAATGAAACTTTTGAGGAGAATTCTTGCCTGAGGTTGGATTTGTACCGATTCAACACATTTCTTATGATTTTACCATCTCCCTCAGTGCTGCTTCTGCAACAACATGACCCTTCTAATGAGTTTTATTTTGTGACAAACTGGATTTCCGTGTACGTGCTCCACTTGCTCGTGTGTTTCGTGTTTGTGATGAGATTTCTCCTTTGTTCTGCAGGACTTAAAAGCATTTACTTATCGGAGTTGAAGATAAATAAAGCATCCTGTTTACTAATTAGCTAAATTTTCGTCAAGTGTCACCCTGAAGTCATTGGAATTACTGTGTTATGACATAGTGTTGCTTTACAGCTTGTAAATTATGGAATGGAACATAAAATGTACCATGGGAGGTGAGGGCTCCCAGGGAGTGGAGATGGTTTTTATAGGGCAGCCAAATGTCGAATGGGTTACAAGAGGGGGGATTTTAGGGTCAGAGTGAAGTTTACTCTCTTCTCTCCTGTAACCCCAGCACTGCTGGCTCGTGGTGTTCCCTGTTGAAGGTGTGACCTGCAGTGTCCACATGGAATTGTGGGGATTTCTAGTTTGGAAAGGAAGGCAGGTGAAACAGTTGGAGATGTATGGTTTGGGGAGTCAAAATAAACCCAAAGAAAAGTTGATTAAAACTTGGCAGAACGTAACCCAAGACTGTGTACCCTGAGATTTAAAACTGTATTACTGTGAACTTGATATGAAAAATGCTCTGGTTTCCTTATAACTTCAAGTAAAAATATATTTAAGCAAAGAGAAAATAAGGAGAAACATCTTGGCTGGTTTTGTGTCTTGTTACTGTACAATTAAACCAAATGATTTTTTAATTTTGTGACCCAGAAGTGTCAGTAGAAACTCTTCCATGTACTAGTGTGTTCAAACCACAGAGAAATTTCTACCATGAACTTGGATTTTTTTTTAATTATTATTAATAATTTTTTTTATTTTGGAGGGGGAGGTAGGAACTCTTAATGATGAAAGTCTTGACTTGCTGTTTTGAGCTAGGGGCAGCAGTGCAGTTTGGCAAGTGTTGAGAGAGTTGCCCCATTGCTCAGGTCAACAAGCCATTAGTCACACTAATTACAGCATTACTATTCTGAGTTTGATCTGTATCTTGTGTTTTCCAGGGGTATCCATAACTGAGTTGTGCTTTATGAACAAGGAAAGGAGCCTAACAACTCGCCTGAAAGGGTGGTAAGAATTGCCAAAATTTCTTACATGTATTTGTATTTCTTTCATTATTACACATGATCATGTCTGTGAAATCTAGAAAGCAAAATTGCTCCTTTTTTAATCAGTCCTGCTATTTACTGTCTTAGACAGTCTCACAGTTGTCATTCCTTAGCCAACAATGAAGTGATGAAAGACTAAATTCATTTTATAGTAATAGCCTGCAGTGCCTTTTTTTTTCAGACAGGAGGACTGTTGAACTGAGTATGGCTAAAATATGCAAGAGTTTGAATTAGTCTGCTTGGAATAGCAAATCACTATATAAAAACTAGTGTCTGTATAATGAAAATGCAGAATAATTAACTGCATGTAATGTAACTAATAATAAACCTTCCAAAACTTTATAAGTGGGCTGTTTCAGAAAGTTTTGTCCTGCTGCAGTCTGACTTTCAGACAAGAGGTGAGCTGGCTTCCCCCCTCCTGGCTGCCTGTGCTCAGCCCCTGGGGTTTGTGTTCAGCTGTACTGACAGACATTGCACTTGGGGTTCTTCTCAGAGCTCTCTGTGCAGAAATCTGTGGCTTGTGAATGTAGCTGGGTTATAAATCCACTGATTATTTACTTCCTTGTGTGGTGGGATGTGTGGCTTTCTGCAGCATAACTTCCCTGTTTTCAGTGCAGGGCCCTTGGCAGAACAGTACAGTCAGCATAATCAAAGACCAAGCAATTTATTAATTTGTATGACTTCCACTCATTTGGGAAGTCATTCCTCAGAACTAATCAGACAGAAGTTTTCTTACACAAGGAAAAGTCATTTACATTGGGATAAAGGAACATGATTAAAAAAAGCTGGTCTCTTAAATGAGTAAAACCAGAAGCCAGCTGTACTCGTTAAATGAATAAAACTGATTGAATAATTCAAACTTTTAAAAGCTTTCATTTATTTTATTAGTCTCTTTTTAAATTTGTTTTAGAGAAAGTAGATTTTTAGGTGAAAGAATGGAGTACAGTTTATACAGTATGAGCAAAACTGAAAGTTATTGCTTCCAAATATCCTAAGCAATGCAGAAGAGGGGGGAGATTTCTTAGGGAATTTTTCTCTGTAACAGTCATCCTAGGGTGAAATTCGTAGTATTTAGAGCAAAGGAAAATCGTTGCAGGGGTGAAAGGGAATAAAATGACAGTAACTAGGATGTGTTATCTCTTTCAGATAGCCTCACTAGTCTTTCAAAATTAGGAAAAAAGGTAGCAGGAAATCAAAGGAGATGCTGTTTGGGGATACATGAGCAACCTGTTGTTATTCTGCAGCTTATTTGTGAAGGAAAAGAATGTCCAGCTTTGAACATAGGAACATGTTCCTTCTACGCTGAAGAAACTCCAGTCATTGTGCTATCATTACCAAAGGGCTTTTTTTGCAGAGTTCACGTCTAAGACCAATTCCTTATTTCAGAAGTGAGGTATTCTCTACTCCTTTTAAAGGCTATGTCACCTTTAATCAGGAGTGCCATACATTTTCAGAATGATGGTGCTTTCAATTTATGGCTTGTCAGCCCTGAAGAATGCTGGCTGGTTCCTTTGAGTGCAACTCACTGGCCGAGGCTGCTCGCTCAGAAAGCAATTTTAGGTTTATTTTGATTGGTTATGGGTTTGTGGCTTTTAATGATGAAATAAAATTGCATTTTTGTGCAGTAGATGTCGGGGTGGAAAATCTGCGAAGTTGGAGCCGTTTGGAGCTGCTCTCACCCCCCCGAGATCAGCAGGAGCATTTCTGTGGCTTTCAGTGGCAGTAACATTATACTGTGTGAATGTGAGGACTTTTCCTCTGCTTTCAGAAACACTCACAATAGTCTGCCATAGTTCGGGCTGCGTGAAAACTAAGTAACTATTGTACTGCTTGTTTATGGAGAAAAGGGGGTTTTCTAGGCAGGAGAAGGCAGTTTGTATTCATTTCTGTTGTGCCAGCATATTGCTTGGTTTAATACCTACAGCTTTGAAAGGCATTGCACCACGAAAATTGGTTATCTAGAATTGTTTGATTATATCATCCAGTGTGTTTCATTCCCCTGTCTGTAGGAGTAGGTCTGAAGAGACACTGTGTCTTCCCACAAGGCAAGGAGAGCTGCAGGATGAATATTTATTGGAGTAGTGGGAGAGATGGCCTGAATTCTGCTGCTGCAGATACTACTGGTCGTGTAAACAGAGACTGTAGATTGGAGAGAAAGCATCAGGCCATCTCCTGAATACATGGAGGCTTCAAAACTGTATTAGTTCTCAACTTTGAGCAAAAGCTTAATTAAATATTATTAGAGGAATTTTCATGGATGTCATTTAAGGAAAAGGTTTTTTTTTACAAAGGTGAACATTACAAAAAGTGAGATACTGTATTTGCTATGCAGTTGTCATATTTTTTTTTTTAAGCTTCTCTAGGAAGATGTTGTTATAAGCAATTTGGGCATAAAAGCTTCTAGCCCAGGGCTGCCCAGAAATGATTTGAAAAACATTCAAAATAACTGCCTTTTCAGAAATGCACACTGCATGGATATTTCCCAGACTGTGGTTGTGTGATTTAAATGGTCAGTTTTGCCTGTAATGTACAGAATGCAGTTGACTTGATTGGAAACTTCCTCCAGGCTGCCAGATTTCAGACCTGAGCCATCCAGAAGGGGAGTTTTTTAGCTGTTCTGAACGCCTTTTTTTCTTGTAATTAATTTTCTTTCCCTAATTCATTGCTTGTAGATTAATGGCTGCTTATTTTGGGCTTCTACCATATTTTCTGGAATGACCAAGAGCAATGAATTAATCTTAATTGATGGATTACTATAGATTAATCAAACTCCTACTTAATGTGCTTGATATTTTTTGTGAGTAAGCTGTTTTTCTAAAACATTGTCTGTAGTTAAGTTTATTAAATTAAGACTTGGGCATGTAAGATTCTTTGTCACATCCAGGAAGCACAAGATATGACCCAAATACTCAAATTACCAGAGGATAGCATTTTGGTTTATAAACATTTGCAGCACAAACAAGTCTGAGCTAAGTAATTTTAGAAAGGAATTTCCCCTCCTGGTAGTGTATATTATACATAGATGTTAATTAGGGATTTTTTCATATGTAGCTCTTGGAAATTATTTTTATCCTGTTTATCTGACGCCAGGTCTATTTATCTTGGATGTGAAGGTTCACTATTGTCTCTGCATGACATGGTTTACAAACCAAGTCTGACTTTGTGTTGTGTGCCTGAGAATTTACATCTACATGATTGTCTTCAGTTAATGATCATACAAGCCTTCCAGAATTGCTGATGAGTCCTAATTTTGGCTTTGTTATCCACACAATTGTACTGCCTTTGGTGGTGTTGAATGGATTTCAGCAGGAATGTTGGATTCTTACATACAATATGCACGGATTTAACTTCTTGTGCTTCTGATGGAAATTTGGGATGCCTTGATTGCTGATTTAGAATGGTTACTTGTTGGAGAGCATGGGGAGCTTGCCCTGGTGCTGCCTGGGACCTGGCATGGTCTGCTGATGACTGCAGGTCCAGGCAGTGGAGAGCTGAGCTCCCTCAGCTCACCCGTGTGAGGCTGGGATGCTCAGCCCCTGGGATGGTGTTGGAAGGTGCTCCTCGGGATG